CTTTGGGTGTCGTACTCATGATCGTTATGCGGTTTGTATGTATGTATGTATGTATGTATGTATGTATGTATGTATGTATGTATGTATGTATGTATGTATGTATGTATGTATGTATGTATGTATGTATGTATGTATGTATGTATGTATGTATGTATGTATGTATGTATGTATGTATGTATGTATGTATGTATGTATGTATGTATGTATGTATGTATGTATGTATGTATGTATGTATGTATGTATGTATGTATGTATGTATGTATGTATGTATGTATGTATGTATGTATGTATGTATGTATGTATGTATGTATGTATGTATGTATGTATGTATGTATGTATGTATGTGTATGTATGTATGTATGTATGTATGTATGTATGTATGTATGTATGTATGTATGTATGTATGTATGTATGTATGTATGTATGTATGTATGTATGTATGTATGTATGTATGTATGTATGTATGTATGTATGTATGTATGTATGTATGTATGTATGTATGTATGTATGTATGTATGTATGTATGTATGTATGTATGTATGTATGTATGTATGTATGTATGTATGTATGTATGTATGTATGTATGTATGTATGTATGTATGTATGTATGTATGTATGTATGTATGTATGTATGTATGTATGTATGTATGTATGTATGTATGTATGTATGTATGTATGTATGTATGTATGTATGTATGTATGTATGTATGTATGTATGTCCGTCCGCAAAATGAAGTGAGTGAGAAGGAAGCTCATGGGATAAACAAACCGCTAACAAATCGGGTAGCTTACAGGATTTGAGATATCAATGTTTTGTAGCAGGATAGTTGTGATAACACTCTTAGGGCTATATAAACACCTGCTTAGCACACTTCCGTTCATTCCACATGGTGCTGCAGTGGCAGCTGGAGGGCAGTGGAGAGAGGAAGGGAGGATGAGGAAGGGAAGCGAAAAATCTACCGTCATATCATGATTGTGTCCCTTCTACTGTATGAAACACCATTGTGCTGCATACGCGTCACTTCCAGGAGGTGTTGGTGTCACAGGAGGAAGGGACCATAGCGGAGGATAGAAAGCTTGCGCAGGAAAGGAAGGTCCCGGCGGTTGACGGGGGACTAATCTGGTAGTTCTATTAAATCTAATAACTTCGTATAGAACTATTGTGCTGATTTGAACGAATTCCTGTCAACGAGCATATGGGTTACGGATTCAAAAACACAAACGCTTGACATGCGACGTGCGCAATGTCTTTTTCGTACCCCCCCCCCTACCCCCAGGTACCCTCAGGTAATTTCGAGTTAGAGGAGCATAAAGATCTCAGGTGACCTTGCTGCACTCGAAGTAGGAGTAGACATGCGATTGGATTGTCAACAACAAACAAAAGGAGGAAAACCATCGAGAAATAAAATAGGTCTCCTCTATAATACGGAGTCGGGTCGCGGATACCCCCCTTTAGAAAAAACGAGAAGAGCGTCGGGTGCAGACCATACACCACAAGTGACGACGGCTTCCGAAGTAAATCTGGTTGAATAGTGGTTCGTAGAGATAGCTGATTTTTGGTAAATGATAGTTGTGATTATTGACAACTGATAGATGACACTGCATAGCGCTAACCATTCATTGGCAGAAAATTTAATATTTTGTAAGAGGCTGGGTGTCCACTCTAGCTAGCGATTATGCGTCAGTACCGCACTTTCTCGTTCCTGCTGGAAGGGCGGTATAAACTTGAAGACACTGTGGCGATGTTGAGAGATTTAGAATCGGACGCGATTAGCGGAACATACTGGATAAGAGCAGAGAGCACCTGCTAACGTGGCTTCTTGAAAGGTTTGAGCTGGGATCAGTCGCGGTTGTAGGTCATGTTCCAGGGCCACAAACAGTTCGCGTTTGTGGATAGGTCGCAAAAGGTCAGCACGTACATTCTTGTGGTATTACTCATCCTGAACTAATCAAGAACTTGTGCGTCTCAAGATCGCAGGATTGTGGAATGTGCCTTTAAGGCAAGTTCTCACAATGAATGAGTTTCAGGCGGTGTTTTGTGCTCTGCGCAGTGTTGGCTATAGTACCATCAGTGTTCGTGCCAATCTGTACTACAGCGAGGACATTTTTGCTTGCTATCGTTATACGAGTTCTCCAAGGTGAGTTCGACGAAGAGACTTGGGAACTTTTGTTTGGACTTTCATTGTTCCAGGCTTTTCTCTGGCTGTTTTCATACCGTACCTCCTGTAAGATGGCGATTGTCATTCCTTTGCAACCATTATTCGCTTTGTCTGCTTATCATCGGCTCCATACATCCAGGCGTGTGATCCAGAATGCACGGATTACTCTTTTCAGATCGGGCTGCTGCTTTTCAGATAGCCGCTTTTTTCGCGTTTCCGATATTCTCCCTCCTTTCATGGAGTCGACTTGGCTGGCATTCTGTACATTACGGCGGATGCATCGCTACTGCCTTTATTTTCGGCATTTTCCTTCTCATCAATACGAACCGAAGTTTTCAAGGAAGGCACCGCTAGGGAGTAAGTTCGAACATTCAACGTAAGCATCACCCACAGCTTTCTCATATCCCGCTTCAACACAAAAAAAAACGTATTGGAGGCTTTGTAAGTACCCCCAAGCAGGGTCAACCCTACTTTGGCTACAAGTACCAACGGGGTGGAGGAGGAGTCAGCGACTTGGTTTTAGTTGGTGGGGGGTCGTACTTGGTTGGCGATTGTTAAGAAGTATGGCGAATGCAGATCCAGTGTGGACAGTTGGCGCGGAGAAAAATTGCCGTTTTCAGCGCGCGTCGATTTACCCACATAGAGAAAATGCCCCCCCCCCCCGCTCGACGGGATTTTTGGAGGAAAAAGGGGCGAAAAGTGGGCGGGGTTTTGATGATGAAGATGGAGATGGTGGAGGTAGGGAAAAGGGGGTCGTATCAAATCCACCTTGGGGGAGGGGGGTCGTAAAAATTTTGCAAAAAGTAACAACGATAGGACAGACCCTGCTCCCTCTCCCCTCTCCCGGCGACCCCAATTGCGGTTCCAGTGTAGATCCAAAAGAAGATGCTCTCCTGCCACCGGCCCCCTTTTGGTTCGCTACCTTCGGACTAGTGCCAATCTTGCAGCGGTCTTGAGCAACTTTTGTGACCGCCCTCTTATGCCCTTTTCTTCGCTGCTTCATGGCCCGGTAACGGTTCACATGGTCAGCACTTTTTCTCAACCCTCAACACTAAATTGAATTTTGAGTCAATCAATCTTGACCCCTCGAGGGTCGATTTGTCCATGGTTTCTCACTATTCTGTTGACCTGTAAATAAATAAAAATAGGTTATGAAAAGGCACTGGTCAGAAAGGGTCGGTCAAAGAAACCCCGTCCATCACTGATGTGGCTGGAACTGCAACTAGAGGGTGACGCCACGCTGCTGACTCGAACGGTGCGGAATGCCCCCCCCCTATATATAGAACATTGGCCGCCTGGAGCCGGGTGTAGCAAGCCCCGGCAGGGGCTGGGTCCCCAGCTGCGTTTTCCCTCCGGTCAATGACACAGTCCTCATGGTCAAGAATTTGGGAATGCGTTCCAGAATATGAGAGGCGTAGGGACTCTTTCCCGTTGGCGCTCCGCTGCACACCCAGGCCTCTGGCGCTGTCTATGATCTCCGACCGGAGGAGATGCGTGCATGGCTGGCAATTGGCTTGTGAATCAACCTGGGTTTTGGTTGCCCGTGATCAACTGCTTGCAAGAGAGCCAGACCATGGGCTGATTGTACACGCGCCAGCATGGCTATGCACAGAAAGTTGTCAGGGAAATACCATTCTTTATACTGTTGGAGAGGATTTTCAAGCCTTCTGCTTTTTTGCTCGCAGTGTCTAACCTCAAAAAATACCCAGTTCAACGCGATCACTCTGCCTTTGAGCACTTTCTCAAGTATTTGACTTCCTCTCTTCAAGCGCATCGGTACATACGGAGAGGTGCGTTATCGTATTATCACTTTGCCGATTACGTACCTATCGATTTACCAGGTAATCACCTTTTCATTGTTTTCTTCAAACCTTCCTCTAACCTAACGCCATCTTTTTGAGGACATTCGTGTTTGGTCAACGTTCATAGCGGCGTTCGGCTACTTCACGGCTCTCAATCTTTACCTCACTTTTGGAGCAACGTTCCTCAACAAGGTTCTACCACTGAAAAAGTGCTTGTGAGACCGTTCTTTGAAAGTACGCTGCTATTTGAGGTGGTTTCGCTGCCAATTGTTCCACTTGGGTCTTCTCCGTGCCCAAACCACCGAGGGATTCTCTAAATACATCATACAGTTTCGGCTCACGATGGGGCCTGTTCTCAAAAGCTTGCGTACGTAGTTTATTCTTCAACGAGCGAGGGTCAAGACAATCCGCATTTTATTTTCAGGGAATACTGATGTCAACAAAATGCGGTTTTTCAACTCGCTTAGTACAGTGCCATCCGGCGTTCTCTTCGCTATGATCGGACTTTTCAATCCAGAACTTCAGCCGGCATCTGTGACGGTATAGCACGAAATACTTTGAAATTTTGAGTGTCATGGAGAAGTGGAGGAAATGAAGAACCGTTTCCTTCGGGTCTGCCCCCCCTTTGGGGCCGAAGGTGTGTAGCAGCGACGCGTTATTTTGTATGTATGCTGTATAACGGCCAAAAAAAGTGAAAAGTGGCGTAAAAAATGAGGTTTTTTTTTGATCACTAATGGGACACTGAAGGGACAATTTGACCGATTGGTCAGTTTCCAGTCTAGAGGAAGGAGGGAGCGCGGAGACCAAAAAAAAGTTTCACCAATTCCCTCAGTTTTACCGAAAGACTACTAAAAAATTCGCTGAGCACGTACTGTCAGTACGAAATTAATGTGGCATGCCTTGAAGGATCCCACAACAAGGTCGGAGAAAGGGAAGCTTACTTTAGAAGTACAGGCGGGCTCCCTAAGGGTAATCGACACGCAATTCTCCGGAAAGGATATGCCTTCAGCGGTTAGGATGGTCCTCCCGCGGCGCTTAACTGGGGAGCGGTCGAGACGCCCTCGACGCGCTAATAAAGGTCAGATCCCCTGACGATTTAGCAAGAGAGAGCCTTAGCATGAGGAGCAGCGACGAAGAGACTCGCCACAATTCGCGAAACCAACGGGCAAGGATAGGGGTCTTAGTTTCCGGGTACGGATCGATATCCTAGTGTTTTTCCTACCATCCAACGCCACTCGACCAACTTCCACCTTAGTATCAAACTGCCTATCTAAATCGTAGACTTTCCTTTACCGGTGTTTCACAGATGACCGCGTAAAAAACTTTCCCATGTCTATGTGGTTTCCTCTGCGATAGAAAGCCATGACCGAAATGCATTGATTGTTGAAATCTTTGTTCAGGACACTATTTCATTCGTGGCCATGTTCGCTGGGGTGTTTGCCTCCTGCGGCTTCTTCAGAATTAGAGCAATACGTTCGCAACAGGTTTATTTATTTGTTATACTGATACGACTAATTTTAATGTAGCATTAAAAAACCCATAAAAATTTCCATGTATTTAGCACCATCTGTTCCTTATCGCCAATCTTTTCCTCGTCAACTGTTTCTCCATGTTTCTCACGTCTCTCTGATAATGATTGAATTAGCCCAACAACGACGACTACTGTAACGTTTATTGTTCTACTGTTGTGTTGTTTTAAAGCTTCATAAGACAACACGAAAAATTCAAAAACAATTACTCACACGACTTTTCCTAAAATAAACAGGATACTAGGGAATCTCGACCAATTCTTGGTATTGGACAATCGCCTCGAAAATCAGGAACGGACAGGGAGAAGCGACCTGAAGGCGGGCTTGTTTTCAAAGTTAGAATTCACGATAAGAACGTATAGCTCATTAGGAAATAAGGGTAGAGGCAGGTGGCCAGTAGAAAGGGATGAAGAACGAGGAGAACCAATTCGCAAACGGCCTTGAAACCTAAAATGGCCAACCGCTTTCCTTGCAAAGACGATTATGCCATCTGACCTGCGGCGACCGTGATTATGATCGTCGATGGCGCGTACCGCCAACCGCAGCAAGAGTGAAGCATGCTAGACCGCCGAGGTCAGAGTTTCGCTGTCGCTACCGCGACCGCGGTCAGCACTCGAGCAGGGTGAATATCGGTCGAGGAAATCCTCGACAGGGGGGTCGTACCTGTTGGGCTGGTCCATGGGGGGTCGTACTCTTGGGGGTCAGTAACAGAAGTGGTATCATGGTGCAGATAGGTAATAGGGTATAGCGCAGCAGAAAATGAAAACATCCGAAAAAACATGATATTAAATTTCTTTGCAGGTTCAGTCGCTCCATTCCTCCACCTTCATGAGAAGGGCGTATTTGAAGGCAGTACAAAGAATGAAAGTGCATCCCCGCAAAGAAGAGTGCCACATGTGCGCACGCGCTGCAAAGGCACCTCCTCCGCCTATCGCTCGCTCCTTCTCCCTTAATACCTCGCTGAGAATGACGCTGTTGTTAGGGACCCTGTCGGAAAAACGACAACCGTGAAGAAAAAGCGCTGGGCAAATGAAGTTGTTTTTTAGGTTACAGGAATAGCACAACACACTATGTCTACTACAATACAGTTTCGTTCGAAGGTCCCCATCATATAACACCTTTCAATCGATTCTGCAACTGTGAGTGGAGGAGGGATGCATGGCTTATACCAATACCAAATCGGATGATGACGATTGCTCCTATTCTTATTGTTTGCGTTCAAAGATATTGTTCTAGACACATTCCGAGTGTTGCCAACGAGTCACACTTGCAATGGTGAATGAGGGAGCGGATTTCCAGGTGGCCGGATCCGACCTCGATAGATCCTCGACGCAATTATCTCTTCAACCAAAAAGCTGTAGAAGAAAACTAAACAGACCATCAGGAAGCGCAAACCTTCCGCTTTCCAAAACTATCTTCCCTTTTTCAGGATCTTACAATATAAGAGATATATTGCTCTTGAAGTGGCAAAAACTCGCGTGAAAATTTCGGCCTCCTCGACATTTACTCGACGAAATTTGACAGACCCTATCTTTCTGCAAGGAAGGCTTCCAGAGCAATTTCGATGCTTGTTGGAAACGCGAAATCCAGCTCTATCTAACTCTACCTCAAGCTGCTTCAAAGGTTGTGAAATGGAGGAATGCAACCTTTTCATCGAGGGTGTAGATTCGGACGTTTTTTTTTGAAATTTCGGCAAATCTGACCCAGTGACAATCGCGCCGCAGCTGCCGTTGAATCGGCCTTTGATACACTCGGCTGTTTTGATATACTCAAGCAAGAATCAAGATTGAATCGCAACCCCGTGTCTTCAGGATTTCTGTGCGTTTCTGAACGAACCTCGCCTTGAGGTCACACAAAGTTAATGCCTCTTTCCTCGAGTCGATATTTCAGTATGTACACAAAAGTATGCAGCGATGGAAGACGTGCATAGATGACAAGATGAAGCGTCCTTAGCATTATTTTGCAGAATTTTTTTTGATTTGTTTTGCAGGATTTATTTTAATTGAATTAATTTGCTCTGTTAGAGGGGGTCGTGCCAGGATCTCGATTTCGGGGGGGGGGGTCGTACCTCTGCGACCACGTACTCGACACGATTTTCACCCTGCCAGAAGTCCGGTGTCTCTCAACTTTGCAATATTTCCCTTCTTTACCCTTCGTTCTTATCGTGAATTCCTTCTTTAAGAGAAATAAATTCAGATTTTGCTTTAAGAGAAATAAATTCAGATTCTGTGATGCTGTAGAGCGTTTTCTTTGTAGTAGGAATACTAAAATAATAGTAGTACAAATCTCGATACTATTTCGGTACTTACAGCTACATGGGCAGCTGTGCTGATCCTGCACGGAGCCATTCTCGTTCTCACCAATGTTGTGTTTTGCGTGTTTGCGAGTGCAGAACCAGCAGATTGGACCAAGGATGGTTACGAGGACTCTTCGATACGACCAGCGAGAGAGGATCCGTTACCGCAGCGACCACTCTGACTCGTCGTGAACACACCGACTCTGCTATTCCGATTCGAGTGCTCTCTCTTTTTGAAGTGTTCTTTTTTTCGGATTTTCTACCCTGCAGTTAGATAATTTTGGCTACTCTAAAATTTCCAATTGTACTATAATGTGTCCCTGTTCCTACATCCTATGAACATCAGTCACGGCAATTTTTATCTATTTCATCCCTCAGACTCGCAACGTACGTATGCTAACCGGGAAAGAATCACTTCAGCAATTGATTCAGGAGCACTACTCCAGCAATTTGACCTCAGGCCATGGACGTTCTTATTTTCTTTCTTACAATGCAACCTGAATAATGCGACATCCGTCTTGAATTTATTGTGATCATTTCATTATGCTACAGGTGTGGATAAGATGTTAAAGTCATGTATCTATCTCCTACCACAATGCTTACCATACGATAAGATAAATTAGATAATCTACGTAATACGGTAGCAAGTCTGTTTTGTGGAAGCTCAGCATCTCTAGTAGGTAGGGCTATGATGGAAAATAAACACGAGAAGATGACGATAGTTGTAGCTTATCTGTCAGGCAACGTTTTTACTTCGCGATCGCACATGCTATCAGGGGATTGGGCGATTATGCGAGTGCGATCGCTCAGTGGGTGGAGCAAACAGATTGAAATGTATGCAAACTTACTCGCCTACCGGCTCAATCGCCTAATCGCCAAATCGCATGTGCCATTGCGAATTATGATTGTCGCCTCTTCAACACTTTACAGACCGGGTGTATCGCCGGGAATGCACGCCGAAACTTCCCACATTTAAAATTTGTGTATTGCCGGGCATGTCACTCGAAAGCTCCGCTTCGACCGTTCCTCATTATTTTTGGGTTGTTACCTCTGCCAATTTGTAGAACACACGGCCATTCGACATGTCTTTTTTCGGTTCTC